CGAACGTCTCCGCTGTTAATTCATTTAGTTTTTTTATATAATATCTAGCGGAGACCAAAATATTCTGAGCCAAATTTCAATGAGGAAACTCGGATTATCCTGTCCATTTAAACCCTCTCAGCTGATGACAGTTCATCTCGCACCATAACATTTGTTGTGTTTCCACTGAGCTGCATTTAATTTGTAGGCTAAGATCAGCATTGCTGATAGCAGACCGTACTGCACGATGTTATCAGACCCTCCAGCAGCATTCCTAAAGCAACTCTAGGCCTAACAACGAGCAGGTTGGAAGGATTAGGCCAGCATATGGAATGATATCGTAATATAAAGATAACAAAAATCATTACAGTTTTTTATTCAACTCGCTTTAAATGTTCAAGGGGAGAGTCAAGCGAGAACGGCCTGCCGATGACACGTGAACTGCCGTTTAGAGCGCTAGTTCATTTTTGAATTCGTTGCATCAAATCGAAGAAATTCTGTTCACGGACGCCCGAGACTTGAAACTGAAGCCTTACAAGAATATAGCAATGAGAGTATCCTGTTTTAACTTGCTAAACGTAATGACTAGATCGTAGAAACCGTCGAAAACCATTGGTGTAGCTCTAAGTCGAAGTTTTTAATCCTGTTTTGTGAAACAGTTAAATTCATGGGTTTAAATACAGACGGATTTTATGCAAATTTTATTCATAATGGATTGGCTAGATAATTTGACTTTAATTCTTTGATGGTTTTAAACAGTGATGACGGATGGACATTTTCAGCACTGCACCCAAACACTCGTTCGTACTAACCTCTAATTACAAGATTCGTATGAGCTGAAATGTTCTAATGGGATGAGAACATTTCATTATTGATGGGTAATGAATTTCCGATTATTTTAATGATAACAAATTTATTAATGGAAAGTTTTAATACGAAAGTAGATGCCACTTAAATACGTTAAGTTCAATAAACAAATGAATCTGTGTGGATGCAGCATCACTCAACTCGCAAATATGAATATCGAATTGATGACAAATTGCTCAAGTCGGAATTAAGAGACAGGGTTTTAAACAAATTATACAGATCAAAATTTCAATGTGTTGAATCTCAGTGAAATAATTTATTATGTCCAATAATATATCATAATATGCGCTGGACTATATAGGTTATACCACACGACGCTTAATCGATTCCAATGGTCCTGTTCTCGAAAAACTTAAAGACTTGGTCTGAACTCTGGAGGAATCTACCCATCACTGAGCAAGTCAAATGCCATTAAAAAAAGGTTTAAAAAGATTTTCAATAATGACATTACTTTCAGATGCACATTGTACAATTTGTTCTCAATTGATCGGATCCACACAAATGTAACTAAAATTAGGTATTAGTCATTAATTTTTTTTGAAATTTCGAATCAAGTCTGCATCAAGTGATTAATTAACAGTTACTTTTCGAGTGATATGCCAAAAAGACTTTTAAGAGGGCTACATGTGCCTGCGTAGGTGAGCTCATTGTAGAGAGTATATACAGTATAGCGGTGTAAATAACAGCATTGGTCGTGTCACTATAAAAGATAGCTAGAATAAGTTGAACTAGAGCCGTACCTGCTACCTCTCGCCAATACCTGTCATGGCTCCGAGAATTGCACCGATTGCCAAATTTATATTCGCACAGACAATATCGGACACTGAACACTGAACAGTAACTGTCACGTGCAAGGCAGCACGGTGTTAACCCGCGGCCTTAAGCGGGCATACACTGACTTGATGGTTGCCACCCTGCGCTTTCTCTAAAAACTTATGCTTATTTCGAAAAATCAGTTTAGAATATAAACAATTTAATTGCTATGAATTGGAATGAAGGTATCAGAAAAGCGAAAAATTAAAGAGTATGTATTATACGCAAAAACTGAGCAGACAGAATTTATTGTCCGTAATTTGAGGTAGTGAAATTCTTACAAAATTCGGTGTAGGAAATAGATAAATATGATAAGCTGGGGTGAAAGTAATTACTGACATTTGGATTAAATTAGGATTTTGCGATGTGCTTTTTGCGTCATTCAAAGTAATTAATGGAATGAGATACGAATTAAAGTCATGGCAAAGTACAGCAAGGCGTAGTCACGACCACAGATACCGAAAGATAAGTAAATCGATATTTGAACGTAATGTTGACAATAGCTTCTCGCTCACTGTACGTGCAAATCTCCGTCTAAAATTTGTACACTAAATCAATGTTTGAAATATTCGATCTGATAAGTAATTCATATTTTTTATATTAATTATATCGTTGAAACGTTTAATATTAATTATGTCGTTCATGAAGAATTATGGCTTTACCCAACTGTAAAATGACGCCAACATAACGTAGATTATGACCTGCTTTTGCCGGAATGGTTTCCAAGTTCCAGAATGTAACACAATATTTTTTTATTAGTTGTCCTCTTCTTTTTCTTCGTGCTGTCCTATACTATCAGAACCGGAATTTTAGGATCTGTCATCCCTTTTCATGAAAATAAACTCGAATTCAATTTTTCCGCAAAAAAAATACTAAACATACCAACCCAGGACTCAATAATACAGCTAATAATTATTAATTCATATATCTGAAAACTCTCGAATTGTGACACATACATGTCCGTAATATTCGATCGTCGGATTAGAAAGAGGGAGCAGCTAAAATTGCGAATTATTGATCGTCAGTGCTAGCAAAAATATATCAACTCCAAATACTTATTCGATCATATCTGTTATATTCGAATCAAATGTAGAACTCCCATGATTTCGAAACAAAGCTGAACGTTAGCAATTGATCCGTTGATTGGACTCTGACGTATAGCAAACTAAAATAATAGTCCAATACATACAGCTACTGATGGACCGTCACACATGATGCAGTTCTTCATAATTTCATCTTCAGTTCACTATCAGAAATTTCATCTTTCAGTTGTACAGAAAGACCTGTGTAAATTTTCCGCGAATACTTTTCCGAGAAATAAAATTTAACGGTCTTTTGCCTAAAAAGCCATCACTGAGAGAAGGCGTCTAACAGATAAATAAGAAAATTTAACGGTTTACTGAATTTGAGTCGATTGTCGTATTACCTGAAACCATAAGATGACCCCTATAGTAGAGGGAAATTTTCGCCTTGGCTGCGAATTTTTAACAAGCAGTTCGGTAGCTGCTTATTTTTCTACTGAATTATTGGGAGGCTTATAAAGAAGCAAGTGTTGAAAAATTAATTTTAGTTCATTCATATGAGATTCGCTTTGTTTAAAATTATATTTGGCGTTTAATACTAGTCTCTGTAAAGTCTTGAAATAATAATACTAGTCTCCGTTACCTGAAGAAAATGGCCTGCGATAACGCAAGATTATTTCGGACAATGAATGAGTCAAGCGAGTTCATCATTACATACAAATCAAAATATGTAAACACCGTAGCCGATACGGTGTGGGTGACTTGTGTCAAGTGCAATTCACTCCTCCCGCTCAGCGTGATCTATTAAAACATCACTCCTGCACTCCTTCAACGATTATCACTAGGACTTAGTATCCATTGTATTTATTTGCCTTATATATATTCTAACAATTTCCTGCTCAAAATTTTACAGGGATTATGCATGTTTGTTGCCCAGATTTTCGTTCATGGACACTCAATGAAATTAAAAAAAAAAATAAGTTGTTTTGATTACGTTCATTCAACTTGCAAGAAGCAAATTTAAGGTAGCCGGGAATGAGGCAGCGGAGTGCGTGAATCGCACCATAGTTTATAACAATTGCGACTGTGGAGAACCGCGAATTATGAGGACAGTTGATCGTAAAAATAGTTTGCAAGATCAATCGCGCTTGACGTTGATTTGTTGGTGTGGTTAATAAAATGCTGGAACGCTACTGCGCTCTGGGTCTGATTGATATGAAATTATTTCATCTGTTGGCTGAAGATGCAAGGCCATTCCATTCCAGTTTTGTTTACCTGAAGCTAGTCAGTACACAAACAAAGGATTTTTCTCTTTATTTTCAGTAATTTGCGGTCGATAACGTGATAGATCAAAATTATTGGAACCTATGTCATTGTCGGTAGAGTTATCCTGTTAGTTCATGCCATGACTTTGTTGGTCTCTGAGAGGCAACAACCTTTAATTATTGCACTTACTCAATCACTTCAGTGTTCCAGCGAAGCACCGACACATTTTAGATAAAGGACAGACACGATTTTCTGATCAGCTCAGATAATGTAATTGTTGAGGAGTAATGAATTTTAGAGTTTTCGTATGAATGCTTATATATTTGGTCTGCTTACGAAAAACATGTAAATTTTCATTAAATACGAATTGAAACCCACATGCTTACGGCATATCCTGTTCCTAAAAATATAAATATAAAATTTCATTAAATTTAAACTCACAAGCAGGTCTAATATACGACGAAGGTGAGAGAATTTCCAATGTACCGTCTGCATACGAATATTCTGTCAGTACACTACCAAGCAAACGTATATAGCATCTAGTAAGAATTCATATCATTAGATTTCCGGAGTTCAAGTTAGAAAAATACTGTACATAATTTTAGCATGAATTAATACAATTGATCATGATTGACTGCATGGTCAATCATTTGCATTTATCCTTTGATTATTATTTTCTTAAGACAGAGCACACGACATTTGAAATCGTTCAAACACACGGTGGAAAGAATTACTTTCATCAGAGATGACGTAGAGTCTTGTTAGAAATGTTCATGGTCAGGTTATAGCCGGAATATCCAAGTTTAGATCAGCTCATCAATATATATTATAAGTGAAATGTTACTTTCCGAGTGGTATGCCCAAGAAAACTTTCGGAGTGCAGCCTCCTCCGGTGAGCGCTGTGTAGAGATTAGAGGCGTAAAGAGCAGCATTGACTTGGTCGTCAATAATGATAGCTTGAATTAGTTGGACTAGAGCCGTACCTGCAGCCTCACCAACACCTGTCGTAGCTCCCAGCAGCGCACCGATTGCCAAGTTTAAATTCGCACTGACTTCGGCGGTGTTGTTGTTTCGTAGGCCATCAATCACAGCATAAATAGCAAGACTGCCGTCGCCAGGGATGCCAGCGGCTTGTGCTGCAGCAACGACCAAGGTCTGGATTATCTGATCCGTCGAAATGTTACCAACGGTTCCACTGATGACGGCAACGACGAGTTGGGCAAAGGCCTGTGCGGTATCAGCACTGATGGGCGTTAGGTCGGTCAGGATGCCGGAGACTGAAAGACTTCAGCGCTGATTTGCGTTGAGTTTGATTGGATCAATGCAGTAAGGAGGCCGCCAACGGCAAAGATAGTAGCTTGAGAGATTTGGATGTTAGTCTGGCCACTAATGTAAACGCCAGCGATGACACTGAAAACGCTGGAAATATGTATCCCCAGCGCTGATGGCCGCCAACGCGTTGTTAACGGCTGTGATTAGAAGAGGGTCGTAGTTGCTGACGTCGGTACTAGTCAACAAGCCATACAGGTTAACAATGGCAAGACCAGTGTTGCCTTGGATCAAAGCTTTGATTATACTTTTGACTCCCTTCACCTGCTGGGATCTGGCAGGATTATCGTCAATGATGACGTCAACTGCTGTTGTATCAGGGCCGCCGTCCACGGTCGTCTGTCCACTCGCGGCCAAGACGATGTTGAAGAAACCAAATTTAGTCCAGTTGTCGAATTCAACTTTGGTGACTTTATGATCGTCATTTTTGTCCGCTTGGTTGTGGAACTTGCGGAAGCATTCAAGCCTATAAAATAGCAATAAAAATCATCCGTTATTCCAATTTTATTACAAACTACGAATAATTTCACAGCTCTAGAAGCATTTATGAATTAGGCAATCTACAGTCATTCTTAGAGAGGGATTTTAATACAATGAAAATTGTTGAAATTTGAATTCTTGACTATTTACCTTGTGTGACTATAATTACTTGCAAGTGAAATTAATTTCAGACAATTGTACCAGCGGTATAATTGTCGGTAAGCTCTGACCTGAACAGCAGAGCATCGTCATCGAGCGGAGTTCCGTCAGAGACAAGATTGTGCAGGCAACCCGCAAACTCGGCCTCCTCGAGAGCTCGGTTGCCGTTGATGTCACAGGTGTGGAAGTTGCTCTTTTTCGTCGAACTTAGAGGAACAAACTCCTTACCAACTCGCGTCTGAATTTTCTTCATGAAAGTTTCTTTCATCACCTGGCACGTCTCTGCAAAAAAAATTTTCATANTACATATATTAATTCAAGTACAGTAGTATCCTAAGATGCAAATTGACATTCCATTAATAATAAATAGTAAATGATACTAATAATTGAAATAATACGGCATAATAGAAAATGATTGACTAACTGGGTATCAATGCTCAAGTGTTCGTTCAAAATACAATTTCAGGAATTTAAAAGCAAAGAAAACAGCCAGAATATTAACCATTTCTTAAGAATGAAAACGTTTCGGAGTCCAGCTCCATCGTCAATTCAAAAGTTCAAAACCTATAAGAAAATCAGAATCAATTAGAAAACTAAATTCACATCTAAGATAAAAACATAAATTGACAAAAAAAATGGTTAATATTCTGGCTGTTTTCTTTGCTTTTAAATTCCTGATTAACTTGCAATTTAAGCAATCTAGTAAATTTATTAAATACAATTTCAATTTACTTCATTGCCAGCTGCGTTGGTAAATAACGCATCCTTATTTAACAGTAACCTTGACTGAGGATGATATAAAATGTAAAAAGTTTGTATTTAAGGAGAAATGCTCGTACACCATAAATCAACATTATGTAGAGATTGGTCGGTTGTGTTGAAGGGGCATAGACAAAAACTGGAGATTTCTTTTAGGCTGCATCTCATTTTTCTTCTAGGGTTTGTTTGCCATTTCTTTTCCTCTGATAATATTTATTCTATTGCTTTGTACGTAATAATATAGAAAACAGAGATAACACTTGCTGACAATACAAGGGATACTTGTCCTCTTACAACTACAAATAGATCTTCGTGTTTAGAAGAATTATGCAGAGATCCGACGAATAGCACTTAAACCAGGTTCGCACTTTTCCACGTTACTGGCGTGAACATTTCAGCTTCAAAGCTGAAGACACTTGTTGAGGCTTCGATCAATAATGCGTTTTGAATTAGTCAGTATATTCACCGTGCGAGGAATATTACAATCGAAACTAACTACCAAGTTATTAATTTTTTTAGCGGCCAAAGAATTAGTAATTTTTGGAAACAAGGTCGTTGTAGGTACTCGCCAGATCTGAGGGCTTAACAGAAAAGTTCGTTTTTTGGTATTCGAGATGCGATCAATTCCTATCAGCAAGGAAGAGAAATACGGCGAGTTTTGACTCTTTTCATTAGCAAAATTTAAGGGAAGCATGTCGGTCAAAATTTTGGATTTTGGCTTTCACGGTTTTTAGTCTCATCTTAAAGCTGATATTCTGACCTATCCAACGGTACCAGAACCATCTCTGTACGTTGATTTATGCGTTCACTATAGATCCCGTAAGGGGAGGGAGGTGTCCGGGCCCCTTCGTGTGAAAGGTAATCGTGTGAAAGGATATCACTTTTTACTGTTAACCTTCTGTATAGAATATTCGTTGCACTAACTCAGTCCTTTGAGTGCTTAAAGTATTATTGTGTGCTTTAAATTCAAATAGATTCTTTTTGTAAATATGTGAATAGATTCTATTTACATATTGCTATATATTTCAAGAGTTATCACTCCAGTGAGTGGCGGTGATGACCTTGGTCACTCTCTACGTGTTAATTACGTCATATTAGCGCATTTTCTGCAAGACGCATCATAAGTCTAATCTAAATTTTGGATGCTACGAAACATTCGAGTGTCGATTATATGATTTTTTCAATTCAATACACAAGTTTTATTTCAAGTCAGTAATCTTGAGTGTCACCTTCTCTTCGTGTACTTCATCACTACTGATCGAAAATCGGTTTCTATAATACAATTTTTACTCTCAATTCATCTGCTACCAGCAAAAAATCATTATCAAGTAAACTTGAAACTTTCAGGCGAGACCGCTGCCAAATATTAGGTAACAAAACAAGTTTATTTCTAACTCGGTTTGCCCTGCCCAGTGATAAATCTTGACCATAACACTGAATCTGATAATAAACATTCTAGCTCCACTTATTTTGGTAGGAATAAACGTTTAATTTTCCGTCCAGTATCCAGAAAAGCTTTTTTTTAGGAATGCATTCCTCCTTGTGTTGTTTGTCAGCGTACTGTGTCATGTTTGAACATATCATGAGCCTGAATGCTGCCTTACATATCTAATGTACAGCTTATAAGTGGTTTCGAACAGAAGGTATTGCTGAAGATTTTTATTCGAGTTCACTATTGAGTTACGTCGCGAAGCCTCACGAAAAACATTTCATTGCAGAGTTAATTCTTGATTTAAATTATTATGAATTTTATTAGGTAATAGCTGAATTTTGTGAAACCCTATCCGAAATTTGTGAAACCTTTAATGATCCTTCTCTCTGTTATGACATTCGATTGACTTTTGGAAATACGCTTATGTATTGGTAGCATTAAGGTAAAAACAATTATATGTACAAAATGAAGTAATTGCAGTCCAGCATTTGTTGGTAAATATGATTCAAAATGTAATGATTTTTTTAGTTTTGCTGTAATTCTGTCCTGTGTCTGATATTTGTTTGTAGCTTAGAAAAAATAGCCGCACATCCTTTGTTGATTTTCTGGCCGATTATTTATCTCAGGAACGGAACTAAATCACAGGGAACTCTTTATTCAAACGGAAATTTGCACATCAAAAATGCAAAACTTATATAGATTTTTTAAATGTCATGGTGAATTTTGGATTAATTTAGATGATCGACCCGCGAAAATGACATACATAACATTAATCAAAAGAAAAGCGCTTCGAACGTTTTTGCCAATATATAACAAAAATTGTTGTTTTCACTTTGATTTAAATATCCAATGATTATCTAAAGCCTTTGCATCTAATAACAATAAAAAAGTTAATGAGGATTATGAAGTAAGAAGTTTTGCATGCAGCATGAATTCCAAACGATAATGAAAAGCAGTGAAAGCTGGAATATAAATTGAATAACATATTACCATCATTTTCAGTGCGCAATGCTCGACCGTCGATAAGCTTTAGTGTAACAACATATTAGCATAACAACATTAGTCTAACAATAACATTAGTCTAACAACAACATTAGTCTTCACAATTCCCATTTAGTTTTTACCTATTCATGATACACAAGTTTTGACTCATAATTGCACTGGACTGCCTGCCACAGGGGCACCTAGTCATTTGGCTCAAGAAATTGATGGTCAAAAATAAAACAAGCTGCCAAATTATACAAAGAATATTACTTGAATATTATTGGAAAGTTCATCCATTGTCCCATCATTCCTCAGGCTCAGGATTGGAAAAGTTGTTCAACATCAACATCTGAACTTCAAGCACATATATATTATAGGTATGAGCCAAGTCTTGTTGCTCAACCATGCACTTTTCTTGGCAAATAAATCATTCACATGAACAAATATAACTTACCCTACTCCCTAGCACCATCCAAAAATATCTAAACTGGTGTGTGCCCTGACCTCCCAGTAATCCAGGTGACATAATTCATTATTTCAAATAAAGTAAATGGTAAGGATCTTCCTACAATACAGAAAATTTCCTACTTATTACTGAAATCTCAAAAAATCATATTTTTAATACGTTTGGATTGGAATTTCACAGCTTGATTGTTCACTTCAGTCAACAATTATGTGTATGTATATAGCTAGCATATAATTAATCAACCAGGAATCATATCATTTACATGGCTCCAACAAAGGCAGGAAAGCAGTGAATGCATTTGGGCGAGTAGATTCATTTCATTCAATCAATCAATGGCTCCATGCAGCAGCATCAATGTCTGCCTAGTCACTAGGTAATTTATGCATTGCATTCTCTATAATGACTTCCAAGACAGTCGCCTTCACTTATAAACCTCAACATATCAGCTAAGAAGCCAACATAGCAAATGCAAGATTCAGTCTGATTCACTCTCCCATACCCACCCCACCATAGGCCTAGGTTGCTTGGACACAGTGACATGTAATACACAGAGTGATAGACTTGTACAGTAGGGGTGGGCCAAAAAACTTTTAATTGCTAACATTGCTCTTTATTGCACTATTGGCTTCACCCACATCATTTGCTTAGCGTGGAATTGAGGAGTATATAATATACATTATACAAACAAGTGCACATTTCATTTGGCATACTGGTTCAAGTGCATAGGCCACTGCTGTTGGTGGCACGGTGCTGCAATGGTGCATAATGATACTGGTTAACTCAATACTTGAACTAGCTTGACTTAATTAATAGGCTTACTAAACCTAAACTTAATTGTTATTCATTGCAATTTACAAACAAAGGGCCTCGAAAATTTTCAAAAAAAATCCATTCCTAAATAAAAGAAAAACAAAAATATCAATCAAACAACTTACAAAAGACAACTAAACAATTTTATAACAAATCTGAGGTACCTAGTACTAGCCCTAGGCTATACAATTGAAACAGTTCTGTCAACTTTTGAATTTGATACTCTTTTTCCTTTATAGCCTAGTCAGTCACCTGGCAGAGCACTGACTGCTGTATCACAGTATCATAGACATGCTGCGCTGGGCCAAGAGGACTTAGCCCTAGATTTCAAGGCACGTGTAACGTCATCGCCTGGGCCTGCCATGCATCAATCACACCTAGCTACAATTTGATACAAAGTAGAAAGTGACATGCGAGCGAGGCTACGCGACAGCACAAGATAGTAATAGTTCGTAATAAATTTAATATTCGAGTCTCACCTTACGAACAATTCGCCGGCTTTGAAACTTGAAAAATAAAGCCTTGTCGGAATTGAGACCGATGGCAGCTTGACAACGTCGAAGTATGAGGTTGAGGATCCTGATGAATTGATCATCCAAGGAGTCCAACTCTCGGACAAATTTCACTGTGATGCTATAATCACCGTCGCTTGTCGTGCTAGAGAACACAGTTTCCTGAAAATTTGTTATATCTTTCATTAATTGATATCTTGGCCAAATATCACCTACAGGGTCTACCATAATTATGGAAGCAAATATTTGCAATGAAAATAAATTTGCTTCTAACTGAGCAAATTAGCGTATGTGTTTTAAGCCTTTAAAAAGTTCATTTTTTGCCTCAAATAACGATGTTGGGTCGAAAAAGTGGTCTTGGTGGATCGAAATAATATATGAACCTTCAAAATTAGAATTCTATCCTGCCTTGGGGCCGTTAACACTTCAACGGCTCACCATGGAGTTTCAACATGACTCTACCTTCTTTTGAAGTCTTCGACTTATGACTCTTTCAGCTATCTACAACAATTTGAAATTATTAGCGCAGTCTCACCTTGTTAGGCAAAAGATTGCGCGAGAAGATGTTCATGCCGTCGAAGACATGGCCACCAAAATGCTTCAGGTGAGGCTCCATGATCTTGTAACGTTGACGACGGTCGTCTTGGGCGGGACTGAAAAAATTAACGAATTGTTAATTCTCTCGCCGGCTCTGAAGCATACATGGAGCCTGAAGCATTTCACTAGTGGGAAGCGTGCTGAAAAGTTCGCACTGTCTCACAGCACTTCCTGAAAGTCAAATGATCATTAACCATCGTGTTCATGTTTGTATTCTACAATGCAACACTACAGCAAGAGAAAACATACATTTAACTTCATCAAAATACCTACGGACGAGAAAATATAGAAACGACTCAAATTGATTATGTAATCAAGGAAATTCATCAAGGTACACAACACTTCAAATCTAGGATGGCATTCGAATAGTAACTCGTCGGGGGATCAATTACCGGTTTGTGCTTAAACAGGTAAAAAGAAGGAACACATTTCAAGATGGATGAATGAACAAATGATGTACCATAATTTCTATCTAGGATTTTTCAGATTCTATTTTCTGTTAGACATAAACAATACAAAAAAAACATGCAGAGCACAAGACCGAGTGAAAGGACTAACACTGCGAGGATTGGAAGGAGGGCTATAAACCAACTTTATAGCAAGTGGTTTGCATAATCTCAACAATCTTAACAAGGTCGCAGAAAAATTAAAGGTTACCAACCACCATTGCCGCACACTTCGACGTTAAACTAGAGCATATGGACTACAGGCTAGTCAATATGCGGAGCATTTTCATGCAAGGATCCCAAAAATTATATTACAGCCAAATAATCCTCCGAGTCAAGCACACTGCATTTGTCACTGCAACGCGAGCCGCGCATAAGCTTGTACCGAGAACAAAACTAATAGCTTCCTGTATTCTGGCAATGTCTCCAACAGACTTTTTCGACGCTCTCAGTAACGGTAATACCGCTCAAGATAAAAATCAGTATAAAGGCTTTATATTTTCAGACTTTCTCAACCTTCTACCGCCTGACATGAGTAACCGACAGAACGGTAGAAAATTGATATACTGTACTTGTAAATGACGGCGTAGAAATTGAGTCGCCAGTCCTGACACTTCTCCATCTCAAAATAGTTGACGAGAAGATTCATGTCGTTGGTTCGTCGTAGCTTCCCAGTACCTGGCGCGAGTCACAATTAGAACATAACGTTAGAAAATATGCACTATATTATCATCAATGTCAAATATCTCATGATAGACAGAAGTGATTATCAACTACAAAAAAAAAAAAACGTAGGTCACATCCAAAGAGATGAACTACCAGTTAATACACAATTGCTTTTGTCTTAACCGCCACTTAAACACGACATCTTAACACTCGCCAATTTTAAAATTGGAAAATTTTTACCGGCTGTCATCAAAAATATCATTAAAAAAAAGTTTCCCGTTCAGATTAAAATACTTGCAAGTTAGCTGAGCTTTGCTCAAGGAACTTTGCAATTTTAGCATGCAGTTATACCTAACCCAGTCAATAGCACTGGATAATTCGTGAATCTTGTGTATGTTTATTACTAACATGATCAAACGGTTCGGTCAAACCACATTCAACATAAGACTGCAAGTTGACTCACCCATATTACATTCATGCATACCAATTTGAAAATCTAATAGCAATTTGGGCTTTCATCCTTTCCTCACAATTCGGCAATGCCCGACTTTTATCCAACTGAACTGAAATTCAAGGTCCAGATAATATCCCGATACTTCCAAGTTTCGATACTCAATCAACAGCCCATTTATTTGACAGACTTTGACAAACGCACAAACAAACTAACACTTGGACAAAATACAAATATATATCCAAGATAATCCTCACAACATAGCTGGAAAACACACATTCAAACTACAATCATCTCGAGAAGAATAGTTACGACTTAATGCAAGTCAAAAATAAGTTCATTATCTTGCCTATCTTGGAGTTGTTGTGCGGTCGCAGGATCATTTGTTTGGCATCTTCGCGAGAGAAATGACCGCCACGCGAATGTCCTCGACTAGAGGTTGTGCCATTTCCTGAAATGGAAGATCAACTTGTAGGAAATTCCTCATATTTTCACGATCCGTATTTAAAATCTGTGCTTCGATAATGTACTGCATCAGCTACCATTATTAGAATTGCAAAGAATGAAATACCAGCAGATGGCGGAGTTTTAACTGGACAGTTAAAAGTAGGAACACGCTTAAATAAAAACTGATGAGATTGATAGTAAAAATATGCTCCCAAGATTACGGTATTAATTACTCAACCGCTGATCATAACATAAATCAAATAGGCTCTAAGTTATTATTATAAAAAAGCATGGTAACACAAGCCTTCTTAGGTGCTTCTGTATATATTTCAAGGTTTTCTGGAATAGAACATGATTCTCAAGAATACTAACCATTGCTACCGTTTCCATTGCTGCCGTTGCCGCTGTTCGCCTGTTCAACGCTTAGGGCGCTCATCTGAAGAGGCAGGGAAGCTTCACCCGACGTCTGCTGTGCGCTGCGTATAGCGCTCTGCACGCGCTCCGTACCACGGCAGTACGCGCGCGACACCTGCGAGCAAATCGAGCTCAGTCTCGTCGTCTCATGTTACACATAAATTCTTACGAGTAGGTACTAAGAACTAAACGACATCTCATTGAACTCCTATTGATATGTGTATCAAAACAAGCAGGTTATTAGTTAGAATATTGTACATTTTTATGGTAGGAATTTTCACTGGAAATATTCATTATAAGAATACCTGATAAAATTTCACTCTGCAGCAATCGCACCACTCGAAGCAAAAATCCAGTGATCAGACAAGGGCAAAGAGAGCGCATTACTGACGTGCGTAGCCGGTGGTTGCTCGGGCCGGACAGTGGGCGCAGGCTGCTGCTGCTGCGGGGGCAGCGGAGGGGCGGCCTGGCGAGATGTGGTTGGTCCAGGCTGTGGCAGAGGTAGCATCGCCACGTGAGGCGAGCGCTGCCACGCAGATGGAGCATCAGTGATGGGTGAGGGATGCTGTGGCCCGCCTGCTGGTCGTATGCCTCGGAACTGCTGCTGCTGTTGCTGGGCTGCAGGGCGCGGTGCGCGCACTTGTGGCTGCGGTCCAGCTGATCGCATTCTTGGTTGCTGAAAAATTTATGAAAAATTATCTTGAAAAATATACCTTCGGCGTCATTCATAAATTACCGATCAGAAGTTCGCCTAACTAGTGTTTGATGAGCGGTAAAATCGAAATTTTTCAACTAAATCACATTCAGCTGACCAGCCCGCTGAACTGGCCAGAAAGAAGCGGCGTTAGCGACTCTTGTTGCTTTCATTTTATCTTCCAAGCATTTAATGATGATGGTTCCTATGAAATATTTTAAAACTTCGAATTCATTCATTGATTTTCTACAGCGATTGCTTTATGCACGTGCTTCACTTTAATTGTGAATCAATAATGAATGCAAATGTATTGCCTTCATTGATTCTTCTAACGCAGTAGCAGTCGTTCAGCCCTAAAATTCTATTCGAATCATTTAACCGAACTTTAAAAATTTGAGACTAAGAATTGCAGTTGGTAATATTTCACTATCAGTTATCCTCAAATCCCATTTAATGCAACAAAATCTATCTACCAATAATTATTCAAATGAAATTGCCAAAAAAAAAATAAAAACCAACTGAAAAAATAAAACTTAAACTTCATATACTAAAAGGTCTTCTAGAAAGCGAAAATATAAAAAGAAAATCTAGAAAGAAAATCTTCCTGTATAATGTATAGTTCTTAAAACACGAGGAATGAAATATTTAAATTATTTAATATTTATTTATTACCAAACGGCTTCCTCGGCCAGACGTGATGAAAAACGCGATCTATATAATTAGTTATCGACTGCATTAATTGTATGGAAGGATTTTAACTACGTCTAAAAGAAGCATCCATATTTTTACGCAAAGAATATATAATTATCATATATGTTTTAAAATAAGCGAATATTTCAAAAACATTACGTGATAGATATAAAATGCAAATCAAATTTTGTAATCAGCAGCAAAAATGCTTTCACACCACACAAAACGATCTCACAATCAATTCTCTATTGGTCAGTGTTATAATATATATAATATAATAGGCTGAATATAGCTAGAAAAATACATTTATTAGTTTGCGTTGTAATTTAAAAGTTAAATTGTCAATGAGTTCTGTTCATCAACTGGTTTTTGTTCATTCTATATTTGTACATAAAATTTTCAATCCTTTTTTTAGCGCATTTTCACATTTATGGAAAAAAAGGCGCTATTGTGCTCGCCATGTCCGTCCGTCCGTCTGTCTGTCTGTCTGTCCGTCCGTGACTTCACGTTTTCGTCGATTAGAAAATGCGCTCTCGTCACTCACTGCAGTGAGCACCGAGTTATATTTCTTAGGTGCAGTGACAGTCGTGGGGAAAATAATCGAAACAATTTGGACTTGTCTTGTGCGAACTTGACAGCCAACATTGAAGGTATAGTATAATAATTCAGAAAGCTCCAATTATTGCTACTGCTTTGTCTTCTTCGATATTGAACAACCATTACAGTCAGCCAGTATCGAACAGTGAAAGTTCTATTAAAAGAGCTGTATAATTTCTTGCAGTTTAAACTGTGACACCATCTTACTGAAACGACGTTTAGTGCCATATTATTTTGTTTCAAGTATGGCTGAAAATATTTGCAGAGCCTGTTTACGTACCACTAAGAACTTATTGTAAAGCGAAATAATGGTTCTTCTCGAAGAAGCAAGGCCCAGTAATGCCTTGTTGCCGATCTGTAAACTTTTTACTCTTTCCCTGTGCTGAAGTCTTTCACGAACTGGTCTAATGCTTAGTATTAAGTTAGTAAAGCATAAAAGGCCTATTTACATCTCCATTAATATGGATTGAAGTAGGCACGTAACACAGCAAAACTTATTGACATATTAGTCGTTGAACGAATCTATCGAATTTAGAAGGCCATACAAGAATTGTATGTGTGTTCATACAATTCCAAGACGACTACGTCATTAAAGCTCCACTACGTCCCTATCTTCAAAGATAGGGTTACCTCTCTGTTCAACGCAGTTCCTTGCAAGATATTTGAGAAACAGCTCTGAAATGGCGCAATCGAACCAAAAGCAAGCACTCTCCAATATGTCCCAGCAAAATAAATTCATTAGAGACTAATTTTGTATGGTTTTGCTATCTACACGTCCGTTCTTAGCTCTAGCAGCGAATTTCAATTTCTGAATCCGGATAACGATCACTGATGCGAGATCTCACACCACAGTTGTCAGCTTAGATATTTTGGACTGGGGAAATACTTACCGTTTCACAATACCTTAATATTTCATTTGCTGGATAAAACCCATTAGTAAACTATTCATAATTCAATCGAACGCTTATTAACACCACGTTTCTGTTGCAAAATCGCAAAACAATATTATATGAGGTAAACGAGCAGAAAGAATCAAGTAAAGAAGTAAACGGCATAAAATTAAATGGTTCTTAGATCTAATGCATTAGGAGTACGATTTATTGTTACCTGAGTACGATTTATTTCTAAAATTATGCCAAATTTCAATGAATAACATCATGTTCGCACAGGGGTTATATATACTTTCTTGTCACGATAATTCAACTACTCTATTATCAATTTTCCAACCACAGATCGTTAAAACTTATATGTCGTAATTATCGAATCTTATATCTTCATTTGCATGATTCACGACATCAATACACCCCTGACACCGTCAACCTTTGACCTGAAGTGACAGCACCACCTGACACTAGAACTCGTAAGTGTTGGCCATTGTCCTCTGATGAGATTTTTTTTCCTACAAGCATGGATCAAAAGCGAATCAGTCAGCCTAATGAATATAGCGTTCGGGGGCATTCAGCAATCTTCAATGAAGACTAATGTATGACCTTCAATCAGTTGTATCGAGCATGAACTTGAAAGTTGTACCTGAAACGCCGACCACTACATTTGCTTTATGTAATGTAATTATGAGTAAATTTTCCGTGGACTTTTCTAAAAACAAAAACATTCAGGAAAAAAAAAACTATCAAGCCCCTTTTATCAGCAAGCGAAGAAGTTATTAATAAAGCTTTGTTCTTCCGCCCGCAGGAAGAACAAAGTCACATACTTTATCAATGATAAAGTATGTGACAAGTATTACATTGAAAAAGTGTTAAAGTAGATAAAGTATTACAACGGCCGTTCACGTGAGGCGTTCACACAATGCGTGAACGCATTGTGACGCAATGTGTCGAGTATGCAGGATTGCATATGGGCCACGAATGGAATTATCGTAGATTTTTACGTCATTTCGTTTGAAATGAACCGAAAAACGCAACTTTGCTCGAAGTCCCTCAATAAGATCTGTTCCGAACTTCCGAATCGAAGGACGTTTGACCCGATCAATTGCGCACAAGTTTAGTTTTGTGCTTGCGTCCGTTGGCAAGTTCATGGGTGAGTTCGGAGAAGTGTCGATTCGGAGAAGCGCTCGCTTGTTTCAACCAAGCGTGCCTAGCATGTCTGACAAGAAAGCAAAAAAAAATATTTCTACAAGGATTTTCATTGTCTTGCGAGAATGATGTTGCAGAACGATGCACCGGTTTGAGGCAATTGCGAAAAATACCAGGATATGGAAAGATAAGCGGGTAGATATTAAAAAAAGGCAGGTATTCAGAGAATGAATACGNAAAAAAAAAAAAACGAAAAACAATGCCCAATATTCCTACCGGATAAAGAAAGAAAACAAGGCGTCAGATTTCCTATTAAAGAAAAATCTACTTCTCATCGCATTGAGCTCCGTGAGCAAAAATTAAAGCAGGAGTTAATCAACAGTAATAATAAACAAAGAAATTAGGATATCCCAGCCAAAAACTGGCACGGAACACGGGACAAACAGATTAAATTCTCCTCCACCTTCTTGTGATCATGAGCGACGATGGTTATACTTGAAGACTGCTCTCAGAAAGTCGTTTCGGCAACTTAGATGAACCTGAAAACGAGTAAAAAAATTAACTTCCTAAGATGTTAGTTTTCAAAAATCACGTTGAAAGAAACATTTGCTCAATTCAACATACGAGCGAATGTAGAAATTAATTTGCAAGTCACGGCAGTGATATAGTCGAGTCAGTAGGAATCACAGCGGTCGTAGTTCTTACCAAGAAATTTTCCCACTCCAATTTGACGGAGAAAGAAATTTCAATAAGAAATCACCACTGATACAGACTGAAAAACTTTGGAAACGAGTAGGCGCAATCTCAACAGATTTACCGTAAAAATAGAACAATATTCTTGACCAATGCGCTCTGTTCTGATCGATGTCCAGTTAAAAAAATTGTCTTTCGGCTTTTCTAATTCATTTGTAAGCTGAAGAATTTCAGTATTGCGCAGGGCAACGCATCTATGAGTCAAGTCCATGACGCTAACGATAGTAACGTGTACAATGACTGGACATATACTCACCAAAGCTTGTCCGCAACTCTGAGTGAAGGTTGTTTGTAGGTGCCTGTGTTCGAGGACAACATGATAACTATAGTAAAGTGTGAAAGCCGGCAACGACTGGACATTTGCTCACCAAAGCTTGTCAGCAACCCTTGGTGAAGGCTGGCTGTGGGTGCCTGTACCCGTCATGTAGGCGAGCTTGTGGGCGTAGAGACACGGCGCAGGAACGCGCACCGTCCCCTGAAATCGATACCAGGCGACTCAACATTGTTTTACAATGCATTTTGCCTATCCTCAACAACTAAAATAACGCGTCATTTGAACGTACTTAATGCGGTAGTTTGAAAACTGATTCTTTAGTTCACATAATTTTTGAAGAAATACACCAGGCAGTTTAAAATGTTGACAAAAGCTTAAGCCGTTTCACTACTGTATTTTTTTCAAAAATATTTAGATGACTCACGTTTTCGCAAAAAAAGGGAAATAAAGGAAAACCGATTCCAAAAAATGCTCTCCCAGTACTGGTCATCAGCCTGTGGCAGTCTATACCATTTTAATCCATTTCTCGAGGTTTTATAGGTTTAAAAGACCCAAGTCCAAGGTGTTAACTTATCATTTCAGCCATTCGATCGTGAGAAAACCTAACAAAAAGACAAAATAAGTTGATAAGGACATAATAGGTTTCGTGCTAGCAACACACCTGCCAGTTAAAGTAGAGATGCGTGAGCTTGTACGTGAAGCACTGCAGCATGTCGACTGAGAAGTTGGAGCCGTCCTCCAAAATATTGTAAGATGTAGGCGAGACAGTTCCTTCTCTTACTTTCTGGGACACCAGAAAGAAGTCGTAACTGCAAAATGTACATTAAATCAACGCATTTCCAATAGTAACGAAATTAACAAGTTTAGAAACTAGCGTAAAAATTTCCACTAACACAATGCCAGTATGAGTAGGAATAAGGTTGGCTGCATATAAAAAGAACCTTCTCAAATACTACTACTCATTGTTTTAAATTGAAAAAAACTGAACAAACCAGTAAGGCAGCGTGATTGTCTTGTCGACTACGGTGCCAGGTGGTGGGTTGACGAGTCCACCGCTTCCCATGTCACGGAAAATTCGCGTGTTGATGCGCTTGCAGACCACAACGAACACAAGGCATATTCCAGGGTTGATCTTGGCTAGTTCGCTCTGCCCAAACAGCGACGAGCGTCACCATTGCGAAGAATACACCACAACAAATGGATGTTGAGTTGACTAAACACATCGTTAATTGGTCAACTGACAACTGTTCACCAGATATCGAGTTATGTCGAGAAAAAAAAAAATTACGCAACGCCTCTAATTTTCTAATAACGAATTCAGGATCAATTAGTAACATGCTTTTTGTTCTCCGGAAAATCAAGGCACTTCAAAATTCAAACAAATTTATGTATTTGCATGAAAGTTCATCGAATAGAAAAGTTCAGGGACTCCTTTCGGGTATTGGACGAAATTGAATGATCGATAACAGTGACAACTCTACCTTCGTTATTCGGCGTCAGAGTTTTAGGTATTGGTCAGAGTCTTAAACGATAGTAGACTAGTTGAATTTCTAATAATAAATAGTTATTATTATTGCATTTCAAAATCAAGCAGTAGAATACCTTTATGGCTGGAATTTCCTGTTGCTTGACGTACTCGAGTTGACCTTCGCCAACACCGTCTCGGTAGACGACAACGTTGCGGGGATGGCATTTGTTGCGCTCATGATAGGCCTTCACAGCTTCTGTGGACACACCATCACAAGCATTTACATCTTGCCACCATATTATGATCAGAAAACATAACTATTGGATGTAGCCATTCAATAGCCATCTTTCCCTTAAATAGGACAGCCGGTTATGTCTAGATAGTTGACAATTTTCCCCTCAATTGCACAATTCGGTTAAGGTCAGCAATTCAACGTACAAGCAACGGAATATCAAGAACTGGCAACCAACTCTGAATGCAGACAGCGAAGTTATTGCTGAGCTCTTCCTTGTTGTTGTGCTCGGTGACCTGGCCATAGTAATTAGTCAGCTGGGGATTAACCGACGAGACCACAGCACCATAAGATTTGCTGGCCGTCACAGTGTCGTGGTACACGTCGTATCCGATCACCATGGTCGTCTGGAAATAGAGTGCAGGTTTTCTCAAACGATGTGTGCTTCAAAAGTAGAAAAATGAATTTGATTACAAAAACATGGTTATTTGCGCATCCTAAAAAAGTAAGTCAAAGAGATTATGCTAGTGTATACGGAAAAAAATGAATACTGGGAAATTATTATCAAATATGTACACACTTGTGCAGCTAATATGAAGGTGGTAAGTTCATAAATTATCGGAAATGACCTATCAACTGCTTGTACCACAAAAACCATAAATAGAATATTTACTCAAATGAAAGAATTAAAACGTGCAGCCAAAGTATCACTTTTTACTCGAGATTCATGTTACAAGTCTCGATACCATGTTGAATAATCTAACCTTGGCGGGTTGCTTGACTTGCCACGGCTCGCCACCAAGTTTGGCATTCATTTGGATGGCGATTTTGGTTGCAATGGACATATGTAGGCCTACGCCAGCTTGGGAACCGCTGGTCTGGCGAGATTAGTGAGGGGGTGAAGTGGAGGCAAGATTTTCCCGCGTGACATTAAGAAATAGGATTTATGATTCATTGGATATATTGTTATATTGCTGCTAAATTTTATTAATGGTAATTTAAATAACTGTTAAACTGTTTTTGAGGACGTGAATTCAACAATTGAAACAGGAATACAAAATTGTACTGATAAATGATAGTATACTGTTTTCCTTCCTAATCATCTTGATAAATGAGAGAAATAGAATCACTATTCGATACTTCATGGAGAGTGCGTGGCATTTGTCTTCAACGGTCCTTTATATGTACAATTCCGCCCTAATTTTTGCCAGTATTTATTCCAAGTACATTTCTACCAACCGGTGCATTTATCAAAAAAGATCTACCAATTACACCTGCACATCAGTACCTCTATGCCAACATCTAATTTAAGACAAATATTCTATATTACAAATATCGGTAGAGTATGCATCTATAGTAAGATATTACATATGTTCAAATGAATAATAAAAACGGAAGTATATCAAAAAATGCACCAGACTCATCATTTCATCAATATTTCGTCTATAAAAATATATTGACAGATTGAATTTTGATTGATTTTTTATTGACAGATTGAATATATTGACAAATATTGACTTACTAGTAAGTAATTATTGAAGGCAAAACTTTTTGATAAGCTTACCTTTTTTTATTATATCATACTCTGATAAAAAGATAATCAGGCAGCAACACGTCTCGAGAATTTTTCTGCAAGTGATCCATGAAGCTATTAGGTTCCTTTAAAAATAATGTAGGCATTGTTCATAAAACCTATATCCAGGTTTCATTATTCTAAATTTGTGAAGACGAAAAGAATAGGAAGGAAAAATGAAGGAGAAAAATTAAGAAAAGAAAAGGGAAAATGAATGAATAAAACAAGAAGGAAAATAAAAGGAAGAAAAGAAGGAAAGAAAATGGGGACATAATCTTACTATAGACGTTAAAGTTATTTTTTAACATGAATACACTATCATTCTCACAATATATATTTCATTGAGTGAATCAGATAATAAAATAGGTAAAGGTGAAATATTTAAATTTAAAATCAAATTCAGCGCCCTCCAGTCTAAACACAACAAGTAAGTTGTTAATGAGGCCTGATTAAACCAATGCAGCCAGATATATTAGACGCCATTTGAAAAAAATCTATGGCTATGCTCGTTGTAGAAAACGATATGGGTGAAACTATAATAACAAAGTTCATAGTTTCAGATCTACCCTGCCTCTGCCGTCCTCATGGACATATAGATTATTTTGTTTATTTTCTAACTGCTGATCGACGGAATCACAATAAGTTTTTCGTCAGTGAACTTGCAGAAGACCACTGAACGCTGAACGTTCCTGGGACGCGATGTTGTGGCATCATTTGCAACCGGATCGACACTTCAGCGAATGCGACTTGATTGCATATTGTCATACATATAAAAGGCTACCTAATCTCTATAATAATACTGACAAACTGTATTTATTATATCTTTCAAGACTTTTTAAGATTCTAAACACTAATTTGACACTTCATGCTACAATTTATAAATATTTGACGTCTTCAATAACATACATATATAATTAACGATTAATGTCTCATAGTTCTCCCCATTCATTGATTGGAGACCAAAACAAGCATATTAAAAATTTTTTTACTTAATCATACAGCAAGGAGAAAAAATATTTTATTGGTGTAATTTATAATTTCATATAAAACTAAAGACGACATTTTTTTCTTGCTTGATGGTTCCAACAATATTTGCTGATGTTAGAGTGCAGTCTTTCGTTCACGTGTTGTTGTTGACTTGCGTGCCGAGTGTGTTGTTAATTTTATATTATTGCTTCTAGGTTATTAGAAATGGATTTCCATAAGTTAAGAGAATTATTAAAAGCTACTATTGACCCTAATAGAAGAAAAGAAGCAGAAGAAGAACTGACGAAGGTAATAATAATTCAACGACTTCATTCCCGCCATCGGCAAAGATGACCACATTTTGTCCATTACTATTCACTACATTAATATTGAAGAATTTAAGAGCTCAATAATATTCAAATTTATTTGAATAATATACTTCATATTCCCTGAATGCGTTCATTTAAGTTGCTTTCATTTTATTTTGTATACAGATCCCCAACAGGCCAACACTACNTGAATAATATACTTCATATTCCCTTAATGCGTTCATTTAAGCTGCTTTCTTTTATTTTGTATACAGATCCCCAACAGGCCAACACTACAGACCCCAAGTCTTCTCTGAAACTTTTCTTCAAGTTTATTCTAACATTATTTTATATGACATCAACGCAACTAGCCTACTAGGTACTAGCTATCACGCCATAGCAATAATAGCATTTAAGCTATATTGCACCCTATCAAGTGAAATTATCTATTTCAGAAATAAACTGATCCACAACACTGACAACAGCACAACTTTCTGGCACAATTAATACCATTTAATAATTAATAACTACTGTGTGGTAGGCTAATCTAATGCTGCAAATACCAATCTAGGCTACCTAGCTATAATTCTAGAATGTCTGTATTGTCTGGTATAAATGTATAATTTCCTAAAAAGTGGCAGGTAAAATCAATTTTTTCACTGGTGATTTCTGAAAATATTCAAAATTGCAATCTATATTTAGGCATTTTTCTTATTTTAAATGAAAAAAAATTGAGGAAATATCTTGGAAATTGTGTTGAAATGACTGCATAGCCTACCCTATAGAGCAGTTTTGTCTAATTTGTTGGTGGTTTATGTCCAATTTTCCAGAATGGTGCAAATCATTGTCATTTGTATCTGATCCATCAGCAATAGCACAAAAAATAATTCAGAATATAGGGCAAAAGCTTCATAAAGTTACTGGCAAGGACAATTGTTTCACAGGGATTTTCCAAATTCATGGGTGAAAATTTGTCTTTTTTATTTTATACTGAAGAAATTAGTAGAGGACATATAAATGGGTGAAATTGCACAGATTCATTGGCATTTTTGTCTGATTTATGGGTGGATTCTGCCATATTTTTCACCTGAGGTAATAAACAGCCATTTAACAGCGACAGCCAAAGTGTGAACTTTAGCTGAAGCTGCCTGTAATTGCGACCAAAACACTCAAATATGGTCAATTTACTAGTTTTTTTTCACAATTTATTATGTATAATGTAATGTCATAATTCATAATCATGTATAATAAATTCTTAAATTTATAAAAATAAATAAATTCATGATAATGTATAAGTAAAACTGCCAAGTTTTAAGAGATTTAAGAAAATGACCATAAAATGATTGTTTTACCTGCAATTCTTGTATAATTTTGCATAATATTCCAGATCAACCGCAAAGGAAGCATGGAAAACTTCTGACCTTAGGGCCATGACTAGAGCTTTCCCGCCATTTCTGGAACTGCAAGATTTCTACCAGATGAAATACCTCTTTTATAAATGTTAACAAAAATGCACGATCGGGCTGCAAGATTCCTAATGTATCAACAATTAGTCACGTTGAAGCAGTGAGATTTCAGAAACAAATAGGAAAATTCTAATCCTGCTGCATAGTATCTAGTATGGAACCATAGTGCAAAATTAGAAAGGAGATCCCTGTGAATTGGCTAATTTCCCTTATTCTAATTACCCATCAAATAATTTTTTATTTAATAATATGAAAAACGGCCTTTTATGCCTGCGATTTTTTTTAAATCACCTATGAAATGTTCATTTTTACCTACAATTTTAGGAAACTTTAATTGAATACAGCAATCCCTTGATTAACGCGGTTAATAAATCCCCGAGTTTTACCGTGTTAAGCATAACCGCACTAATCAAACTTGAGAATATATGGGAATAATTATAATGAATCCTCAAAAATAGCAAAGTTACATAATAATTTTTTTTTCCACTAAAATTCATCATATTTTGCTTAGTTCAGTTCATCATTCAAGCTTAGTCTCCAAAGTGATATTTTTATGTTTAAGCGTTCCCTTTTTGTCCATAATTATGACGAGAGCAGTATCTGCCAAGTGCTGACTTGCATTAACAGAATTTAAAATATTGTCAAGCTGTCAGAGTTAAAACTTGAGCCTGGGCAGGGTTCCAGTAATACTGGTTCAAATATAATTAAAACTTATCCATCTCACATCTGGGACCATTTTGAATTACTTGATTTCTGCAAGAATTGTTTCTCAGTTATAAATGAATCATTTACTTTCATGAAGGAATTGAATTGCACTGACAGTGGAACTTGCATCATCACAGCACTTATTCTGCCATTCATGGAATATATCTACTTTTAAATTTGTAATTGAAGCTTTCCTGATATTTTTGTACCTGCAAGTTTCTCACTCATGAAATAGTTGAAGATCTTTGGTGACATATCAGCATCAGAATCAATGTCTTCAGAAGATCTTGCCCACACATTCCACTTTGAATTCCTCTTTACATGTATTTTTGGTTAGAAATATTATAGGTTTACGTAGTTCTGGCCATTAATTCTCATTCTCACCGTCAACTGGGGTGACTTTGGCCACCACTACAACAGAAACAAATGCAGCAAACAAAATAATCCATGTTGGCCAAAGTGACTGGGGTGACTGTGGCCACCGGGGTGACTTTGCCCAACGTTTATTATCTTGTTTTGCTGCCATTTGTTTCTGTTGTAGTGGTGGCCAAAGTCTCCCCAGTTTTTGGCACATATTTTCAAATTTTTATGCCTAAAAACCTGATCTTGACAACAAAATTGGCATGATAGATTCCTCTTTGATGAATTATTTAATTCTTAACTGAAGTGCATGATCAAATCATGACATTATTAGTTCATTGAAAATATTTTACTTTGATTTAGTGAGATCTCAGTAATCAGTAAGCATTTCACAGTCTTATATTTTCACAATAATGTGAAATTTGAGTCCCAGCTACTTGCCAGAAGCTGTAGCTAGGACTTCAGTACAAATAAGTGACTAAAATAGTGTGTTTACTAAAGAAAGCTGTGCATTTCTTTTCATTTCAATAACAAATACACTATTTATGCAGAAAGATGAAAAATGTTCTGCTAAAATGTTTGAATGGTTGTATGTGTTTTGTTAAGATGAGTTTGTGCTGTGCAGATCCGCAAAATTGCCGGGTTTGGGCCAGCTCTGCTGCAGCTGGTGATGTCAGCAGAGCTGGACACATCAGAGCGTCAGGCCGCCGTCATATTCCTCAAGAACCTCATCACCCAAGCCTGGCAGGAGCCACCCAAGCCTGACCCTGCTGACCTCACTGCTGTCAGGTCAGTGCTTGGGTTAATGTCTATTCTGGCTGATAAAATAACATTGAATATTGATAATAACATAGATTGAAACTAATCACTGTGTTCTTCAAGAGAATATTGATAAAGTGTAATTGGAAAGGAAGTATTGGTAAAGCATAATGAATATGTAGATTTATTATATATTTAAGAATTAAAGGCCAATTTTATTAATAATTACCAAATGCTGATACATATAACTTGATAATTGTATCATGCAAATTGAACTTTTTCTCATACCCAATAGCATGTTTGCACAGACATACGCATTTGTTCCTTCAAGCTGAGATCTGAGATCAAGCTGAAATATATTGAAGAATAATTATTTGTTTGCTAGTTAATATTTTGAATCAATTTTTTTTATCTCAGTTTTGTTCATTGGATTATAGCATCTTTGTTATCCCCATGTTATAAACTAGAATCCTTCTGTGTTCACTCATATCACAACCTTGCGGGCTATGATTACTCCCTCCCATTTTGTCAATTATTTATTTAAATATCTTCCATCTTGCATACTTTTTTTTACCGGACTTTAATATAGATTGCTTCCTATAAAATGCTGTCTTCAAACTCACAATTTTGAACTTGAAACCATTCTAAAAAGAATGAGAATGAAACAACCAAATTTTTGGTCTCAAGCACAGTGCCATTTCCGTGTAGGACATTTCTGACCGCTGGGTATTCTGGTGATGTTACCAATGGTGACATATAAAGCCATTTCTGACCGCTGGGTATTCTGGTGATGTTACCAATGGTGACATATAAAGCCATTTCTGACCGCTGGGTATTCTGGTGATGTTACCGATGGTGAGATATAAAGCCACTCATGTGTGCGTGTGCCAGAGAACATGTGCATCTTTATTTCTGTTTTTCTCAATGTTTATTTTTTCCTATGGTTTATTTTATCTCATTGTCTGTAAGTTCATTGCTCACCATCTAAAAACTACATGAAATCGCAGCGGAGAGCTTGAGTACCTCTCACCTCCAGCTCATAGAACACTAATGTCGTGAGTTTGACAGTAGCAGAGTTTGCTGCCAACACGTGGAGCAGTTCACTCGGTGGTGAAATTTTTTTTATTTAGTTTGCTAAATGACTTGCCTTATTATCATTCTAGATCATAATAGCTAAAATATTATTGATACATCAGGAAAAGATCTCAGTTGAAGAGTATCTTGACAGACAAGGCTGTGAGACTTTTTTTTTTTTTACAGAGGTTATTAGGAACGAAGGGCATCTTCCCTCAAGCGCAAGGGCATAAGGGTAAAAAATTTTCCACTCTTGATCATAATCATCAAAGTCAACTAACACCATGAGTATAGGCTAATCAGGCTGACCTCAAAACTCTCCATTTTCTTCAATAATTTCTTCATTATCTGCACTAATCTTTTTAGTATCTCCAATAATCTCTTTATGTTTGTTTTTTAATTGTACTGCATTAGGCAGCCTAAAGCACATTTACATGTTCCCTGCAGTGACCCTGACGCAGAGTTTGCGCTGCTGGAGCAAGACAAGGTTGTCATCCGCAACTCCATCGTCGATGCCGTCGTACACTCCCCCGACATCATCAGGTGGGTGGTGGTGGAGTGAAGAGCTGCTGGTGGTGGTGCATTGAGTGGCTGGTGGTGATGGTGGTGGTGGATTGTGTGGCGGTGGTGGTGGATTGCATGGCGGTGGTGGTGGTGGATTGCATGGCGGTGGTGGTGGTGGATTGCATGGCGGTGGTGGT